ATATATATATATATGCAACTGTTACAATGTTGTATATGCATATGGTTTATTTTTATGTATGCCACTACCTTGTGTTTTAATGACATAGCTTTTTAATCTCCAGCCAAAAGGAAAACTAGAAATCTGACCTTGATGGTGAGACAACAAAGGAGTTGTGGCGTCGGTTGAAACAGGTTACGGGAGATTCCAAGGATATTTTTTTCCTTGATAATCATTTCAAGAGTAACTTGGTCTTAAAAAAAAATAGTTAAAAAAAAAAATCTCCACCCAACGTCAAGGAAAAAAAAAAGAAAGAAAGAACAAAGTGTCTGACTCGTCTTTTTGCCATGGATAGGAAAAAAAAGAAAAGAAAACCGATGGTGTCTGAAGAAGTTTATAAAACTGTTTGAAACCTACTGCGTAATTTCTTTACACACTTTTAACCGTGTTTTGAAGGACATGATCCTTACCATTTGATTGTCGATTTCCAGTGTCTGATGGTGCGTTCGGCCCTGACAGGCCGTCCTGTGTGTCGCTTGGGCTGCCAACCATCGATTCTTCCGGTGCGACTCCTTCATCTCCTGTTTGACCCATTTCTTCAGCTGCCGGGCTGCTGTTGTCAGCGTCATCCATTATTTCTTCTTGCTTTATTGTCAGTTCTGTGAAATTCAGTAAACAAAAAAAATATATTTATTTTCATTCAATCTTTATTTATACAGGTTAATCCCATTGAGCCTCGGGGACTTGTTTACTTTGTACAAGAGAGACCTGGATGCTTTATTGCCATAAAGCAGTCAGCATAGAAATCAGTGACCAGTTATCCAAAATTAGACCTGGCATTGGCACAATTAATCATTGCAGATGTATTATCAACTGATATGAACTTAACAAAGCTTTTGGTTATTCCATGTGGATAAGTGTCCATTGTAATAGTGAACAAGGGTATTCAGATGTTAGACAATTTGTGTTAGTTCTGAAACAAGCTGGTGAGTTTTTTTGCAAAGCATTGCATTAATAATTATTGTAGGGGCTTGATTTGGAAATGGCTAATTAAAGCTATAATAAATAAGCTAAGTGGCAGAATGAAATTGGATTGAAGCATTGACTTGAAGACATTATAAGAGATGGCATGACAAAACAAACACCAAAAAAAAAAAAAGAAACAAGACCGTCTGGTTTTGAGTTGTCCCTGGGGAGAAAAAGGAGTGTCAGAGGCCCATTGCTGGCTGGCTGGCTGCTGACTAGCAATGGGAGATTCACTG